GTCCTGTAGGACTGAGCTGCTGTTATCTGTCTGTCTGTAGACTGACAGGATTTATCTGTCTGTCTGTAGACTGACAGGATTTATCTGTCTGTCTGTAGACTGACAGGATTTATCTGTCTGTCTATATTGGTGGCCATTGGTGGTGGCTGGGGGCCGTGCTGGGTCGGCTGGTTGGCCCCTTTGCTGTGGCGGGGGCCCGCCCTGGGTGCCCCCCTTGCTCTGTCGGTGGTTGGGTGGGCGCTCTTGGCCAGGTCGTCCTTGCTGGGGAACGGTGGCCTCTCTGGGCAGCGGGCCGGCTATGGGGCTGGGGTCAGGTTTTGGGGGTCTGGGTGGCTCTGGGGGTGGGGGTGGAGTGTTGGTCCCGGTTTCTGGTGGCCTTTGGGGCTCCGTCAGTCCATGGTCTGGGGTTCCGTGGGCTTGGCGATTTGCCTGGAGGGAGAGGTAGTTGGGCTGCTCTTCCTGGGTGGGTTTCGGGGAACGGGAGGGCTTACTGGGGCCAGCGGGGGGAGCTGACTCCCTGTGGGAGCATTTTGCTCCTTCAGCATATTCTCCCCATCTCTCACCGCACACCTCCATCCTCTTTACTTTCAACTTCACCCATGTAGGGTTTTTTTGGGGCACAGTTGTGTTATAAGAGCAACAATATAACATTTCTATTTGCCATAACCACCTGGGCCCCAAATTTTATTGCACATCTTAGACACTCAATCATGACATTTTCATGACATTCACATATAGGAACTTAAGGTGGGCACTCATGGCTATAGGTGGCCGGATGGCACCATCTTGCCTCCTGTGCCTGTGCCCACCCCCAAGGTTTGCATATACTGTAGACACTTAGGGTTTTGGGTTAGAGTAGTGGTGGAGGGGAAACTGGCACCACGCCGGCCTCTGCCTCTTCTTCTTTCCCTTTTTAATTGCTCTATAGAACAACACACACCAACAGTACATCTGGGGGTGGGGATGTGTGTGTCAGGGTCTTTACCCTTATCCCGTTCCCCGACTGCCATTTGGGGAGGGGTCCGGAAGAAGGGCAGGCCGCCGGGTGTGGTCCTGGGCTGTGGGTGGGCTCGGGGCTTGGACGGTTGCCAGGGGCGGGGCTGGCTCTCCATCCTCCCTGGTGCTGCTTGGTCTCCTGAGGTGTGGCTCTTGGT